TTTTACAACAAATGGAGTGCTGCCACGTGTCACACATGATGGCAGATATTTTATTAGTTGAAAGTTGGTGTGAATTTCTTCAGATGAGATTGAGTAGTTATTTCCACAACGGCAGCAAAATCGTTCTTTTGTTGCGAGCTTTCAGAAGGATAATCGCAGCACCAACAAATTAATCAATTTGTTGCAGATATTATGCTGCAGTTGGTCTTTCAGGATGCTACCGCAGATCTCCACCATGCTGCCAAGGTGCTATAAATACCTAATGATAAGATCAAGTAAAGGATCAACATCTCACACAACAAACTCAGCACAATTTCTCTTTATACTCAGATTCATCTTAGTTTCAAGCCCTTTAATTTAATTTCAGCTCTATGCTTCAACTTTGATTAGTTTAGCAATTCGGTTCTTTTTTTGTCGAATTTGTAATGGTGAGTTTCGCTGCCTTCAGTGATATTTCTTTATAATCGGATTGCTTCCTTTCCTTTTATTTGTTTTCCAGATTTCCTTTAATTTAATCAAATGATGTCGACATTTAATTTTATGTTCAGTTCCATTTTCGTTAATTTACATTTCATGCTGCCAGTAGATTTTTCATGCTTCGGGTTTTATTTACTTTAACTTAATTTACTTTTGCTGCAATTAAATTTCCTTTTAAAACTCTGTTTCAATTCAGTTTGCGTATTTAAAGTTCATTTAGATTTTTAGTAGTTTTGCGATCATTTATTTACCTTGCAGTCTTAACTTTTCTTGATTACATTAGCTTTGAGGAGTCCTTGGAATCATATCCAGGGCATTTTGTCTATAACCCATTTAGTGCAGGAGGTTCATCCCTCGTTTCTGCCAATCGTCTGATCTTTAAGGTGCAATTAACGGCGTTCTTCCATCAACTCACAAGCTGAGTTCCACGCTTGGAAAGAAGAGAGGGTTGTCGGAGAAATCTTTCTTGTTTTGAGCAAAGCAAGTGGCACGCCATTTCATCTGCCACGTGTCAAGGAGATTTTTTGGGATAACAATCTCTTTTTGGCACGCCCGGTGGGACCTCCTGCTGGCGATTGTCTATCAAGAAAAGTTCTTTGATCCACTCTTTTCTTTTCCTGGGCATGAAGCAGCCATAGCCATGCTTAGGAGAGTTGGAAAAGAAGTTGCACAACAAGTGGAAGTGGCTCCTGTGAGTCCAAGACATTTTGAAGGTGAAAATAGTCCGAAGCATCTTCCACCTATTTCTCCCTTAGCCGATCGCTCATATGGCAATCCCATATATCGCAATGATGATGAGGAGAAAGTTGATTCTACTGAGTCAAGCAATAAAATATCTCAAGAACTTCAGCAGATAAGGAAGCTACAAGAAGAAGCCAATCAGAACATGGAGCGCAGTCTACAAAGCTTTCTACAAGCCCAACGACAACATTCAGATCATTTCACTCAATGTTTGAATGTTATTGAAAGGGCCATTCATGACAATTCTCGAGCTATTCGAGAAGAAGTAGCAGAAAGTCGTAGAACCTTCACTGCAGTTTCTGAGAGAACCATGGAACATGTTCGACAGCAGCAAAATGTTCCAAGGCAACCCGTGCCTCGAGCAATGGAATTGCCACAGCAAAATCTTCCAGATCCTTTGCCTGGGGGGCATATTAATCAGCCACAGGTGGTGCAGAAAATGCCCAATGCTCAAAATAATGCTCTTGGTGCTGGCTAGGTGCAGTTCAATAGGCAGCAGCAAAACAATCCTGCTAGTGGCATCCTTGGACCACAAGATCCTGTGGAAGCAGCATTCCGTGCAGCTAAGCAACTCAACGCCAATCAACAAAGATATGTACCTCCTGCACGTCGTCCAAATGCAGCCCCACAGCCCAACTTCCAGAATAATGCCTTTCAACCATTAGGGCTGCAAGCAACACCCCCTCCCTTGGATAGAAATCAACTGATTGATCTAGTCCAGGAGACATATGGTCCAGCTTTAAGACCATTGGTTTGTCCTTCCTATCACAAGCCGTATCCAGATTACATAGATCGAGATAATCCATTTCCTCGTGGATTCAAAGTGCCTGAATTTACTTTGTTTTCTGGGGACGCGAGTCAGTCAACCATTGAACACATTGGTAGGTTCACTATTCAATGTGGGGAGGCATTGGGTGATGATTTTTTGAAGTTGAGACTCTTCCCAAGTTCTTTAACTGGTACTGCACTGACATGGTACCTAAGTCTGTCGCAAAATTCTGTGTTCACCTGGAGACAAATAGAAGATTTGTTTCATATTCAATTCTACCACTCAGAGCCTGAGATATCCATGGCTGATCTTTCTAGACTGACTCAACGGCTAAGGGAATCTTCAGAAAATTATCTTATGCGGTTTAGAAAAGCCCAGATGAAGTGCCATGTTGCCTTACCAGAGCAAGAGTTCGTGAAGCTTGCACAGAATGGTTTAGACATTGAACTTCGAAAGAAGTTTGAGGGGATGGAATTCAGAGACTTCTTTGAGCTCTCTTATAAGGTGGCACGTTATGAGAACCTTTTAAGAGAGGAATCCCAAAGAAAGGCAGCGTCGCAAGGAACTTATTATCAGGATGCTTTTGACCTTGATGTTGCCGAGGTCTTTGCAGACAAGCCAGTAACTTGTCCTAATCTAGTGAAAGTCACTCAACAAGTTGAGGCGGCTGCAAAGCGTCTCCCGTATGAATCTGGGAGACAATATACATTTGATGTGACTAAAGCAAATGAAATCTTTGATTATCTGAAAAAGTCAGGACATATTAAGTTGCCGCAGGGGCATAGGCTCCCGACGGTTGCTGAAATTGCATCCAAAGATTACTGTAAGTTTCATAATTCCTGGAAACACTCTACTAATGACTGTGTTATTTTTCGAAATGTGTTGTAGGACAAGATTGACAAAGGGTTGCTTCGTTTCCTTGAAAAACCTAAGGAAGCCATGGGGATTGATGAGAATCCTTTTCCGAACATTGATGTTGGAGTTAATGTTGCTGACATAAGGAGCATCTCTCAAAGGACGTATAAAGGGCGAACTTTGGCTGCAGATGACCTTCGTTGGGTGATTGAGAAGGAAAGGGAACGTCGTGCCCAACAGAATCAGAGGCTCGGGGGGCAACACCATGCTGCCAGAATCTATGCGGCTGGATCCAAGATGAAGGAGGCTCGACATACAGATCGCTCTCGTATGGTTAAGCCTCCACAGCGACCTCCAAGTAGAAGGTGGGAGAAGGTCGTGCATCCCAAGTTTCCAAAAGAACCTGTGAGAAATCCTAGAACTTTGAGAAGAAGGTTGCAGCAAAAGCGAGCAGAGGCACATCGTCATCAACAATTAGCTACTGAGGAAGTTAAGGTTCCACAACGTTCTCTCGCAAAGGGAAGGATGGTGTGGAAGAGAAAAGAGAGTCAAGAGGTTGCTGTCCAGAATGAATCTCAGCCGAAGGTGCCACCTCCTAAGCTCACCTCATTGATCATTAATGAAAATGAGTTGAAGGCAACCTTTGAAGCAGATCAGCAAGCAGAGTTGACTAGGGATGATAATTTTCTTGAGGACATGGATGTTCTGCAGATTGGCAGCATCTCTATTAATCTCTCTTGTTTGGTTCTCACGCTTCCTTTGGTTTTTCAAGCCAAGGGCAGCGAGACTACCCATGTTTCCAATGGCAGCATGCTTGTTGAGGAAGAAGTGATAGAGGTTCCAGCCCAAGAAGAGGAAGAAGAGCACGATATCCTTTCAGAACAAATTATCTTTTAACAAACCAGATGAAAGTGTGGCTCGTCATATAAAGCCACTCTACATTTCAGCTCACATGGATGGAGTTCCAGTGAATCGAGTCCTTGTTGACAATGGAGCAGCAGTCAACGTCATACCTTCTTTTATGCTGAGGAATTTGGGTAAAAATTCTGAGGACTGGGTTTATACTGATGTAACCATCAGTGATTTCACAGGTGGTGTTAGCAAATCAAAAGGAGTGCTGCTGGTTGCACTTACTGTCGGCAGCAAGACGTCAATGAGTGCTTTCTTTGTTGTAGACTCTTCTGCAACTTATAATGCATTATTGGGACGTGATTGGATCCATTCGAATTGGTGTGTTCCATCTACTCTCCATCAAAGACTCATTTTTTGGAATGGAGGCAAGACTGAGGTGGTTTATGCTGACAACAGACCATTCTTAACCAATTCCAATATGGCGGAAGCACGGTACTATGATGAAGACGTAGGAACCATTCGTTTCTTTGGCATGGATAGACAAGGAAGACCTCGTGGAATCAGTGCTTGCAACAAGCCTACCCTGACTAAGTATGTGGTTGACGAGGTATGCAATGAACTTTTGCGGCCTACTGCCATTATTCCATATAGGCCGCAAGAGGAGCCCAAAATTGAGGAGTTGTTATGAAGAAATCCAAGATAAGCAAAGAGAGAAGGGAGGCCGTATCTGAAATTCTAAAGAAATTAGCGGCCTATTTTGCTGAAAGAAATACAGAACCAAATCTGTCGGAGGTGGTACATGAAGGTGAGGAGGACACCCATACCGATGGAATCACAATGGAAGAGTTAGATCTGGCCCCTGCAAAGCTAGATGACCTCAGGGCCAATGTACAAGATCCATTGAAGAAAGTTAATCTGGGAACGGAGGCAGAGCCACGCATTACTTTTTTCAGTGGCTTGCTACCGCCAGAGATGCGAGATAAAATAATTTGTTTACCACATGAATTCAAAGACTGCTTTGCCTGGGATTATTCTGAGATGCCAGGTTTAGACCGAGAGTTGGTAGAACATAGACTACCAATCAACAAAGGATATAAGCCGTACAAACAGCCGCCACGCCGTATGTCTCCAGAAGTGATTTTGAAAGTGAAGGAAGAAGTGGAGCGGCTGCATAAAGTTGGTTTTATACGGACAGCCAGGTACTCAGAATGGTTGTCTAATATTGTTCCAATAGTGAAGAAGAATGGAAAGCTCAGAGTCTGCATTGATTTTCGAAACTTAAATCTAGTCACACCGAAGGATGAATACCCCATGCCAGTAGCAGATTTACTTGTTGATGGGGTTGCACGCCATCGCATTTTATCTTTTATGGATGGGTATAGTGGCTATAATCAGATCTTTATTGCAGAGGAAGACATAAGTAAAACGGCGTTTCGTTGCCCTGGAAACATAGGTACGTATGAATGGGTCGTGATGCCGTTTGGGTTGAAAAATGCAGGAGCTACATATCAACGGGCCATGAATGCAATTTTCCATGATATGATTGGCCGCTTCATGGAGATTTATATCGATGATGTTGTTGTTAAATCCATGGAGGATGAAGAACATTTGGAGCACTTGAGGAAAGCTTTTGAAAGAATGCGACAGCATGGTTTGAAGATGAATCCTCTCAAGTGTGCTTTTGGTGTTATAGCAGGGAATTTTTTGGGTTTTTTGGTCCATGAACGAGGCCTAGAGGTGGACAAAAACAAAGCAACGGCCTAATTGAAGCGCGACCACCACAAAATAAAAAGGAATTACAAAGGTTTCTTGGTTAGGTTAATTTCCTAAGGAGGTTTATCTCTAATTTGGCGGGCAAAACTCGTGTTTTTTCACCTCTTTTGAAGTTGCAGCCTGATGCAGATTTTAAATGGGAGAGGCAGCACCAAGCCGCCTTTGATGCCATCAAGGAATACTTGTCCAAGACACCCGTGTTGGTTCCTCCAGTTAAGAATAAACCCTTATTGCTGTATATATCCGCCGCAGATGAGTCAATTGGCTGTCTGCTGGCGCAAGAGAATAATAATAAACAAGAACAAACTGTTTATTATTTGAGTAGAGCTTTGAATCCAACCGAAGTGAAATATTCTTCGGTTGAGAAATTGTGTTTGGCTTTGTTCTTTGCAGCAATAAAATTGAGGCACTATTTATTGTATTCGGAGGTGTTTGTTGTTTCAAAAACTGATGTCATAAAATATATGCTGTCGCGGCCACTCTTAAGAGGCCGCATTGGTAAGTGGATTCTTGCACTTACTGAATTTAATCTAAGATATTTGCCTCAAAAAGCCGTCAAAGGACAGGCTTTAGCAGACTTCTTAGCAGATCATCCTTGTTTAGATGTTAACGCTGATGAAGACAAGGGAATCAATCTCTTTTCGATTGACTTGGTTCCTTGGAGGCTTATTTTCTATGGGTCTAGCACTGATCGAGCCTCTGGGGCTGGGATTATTATTGTTTCTCCAGATGGCATAAAACCCAATGGTGTTTTCAATTGGATTTCAAATGCACCAATAACCAAGCAGAATATGAAGCTTTGGTAATTGACCTTGAGTTGTTGGTAGAGTTGAAGGTGCCATCGGTTGAAATTGTGGGTGATTCTCAATTAGTTCTCAAGCAATTGAGTGGCAAATACAAGTGTACAAGCGTGGTTTTGTCTCCATATTTTGCCACTGCCATCCAACTACTAGAGGAATTTGATGATGTCTCCCTAAAGCATATTCCTCGCAACATGAATATTGAAGCAAATGAACTCGCGCAGATTGCTTCAGGTGTCAAAATGCTTGAAGGCATCTTGGAGAAAGTCGTCGTAATTGAAAAACGTATACTGCCTTCAATTCATCAAAGAGGAATAATGGTGGAAGCATGCTCACTAGATGTCACACCTACAGACTGGAGGCATCCAATAATTGAACATTTGAGGAATCCCAGTTCTAAAACATCAAGGAGAACGAGGATGCAAACTTTAAACTATGTGCTACTTGGGGATGTTCTGTATCGTAGGGGGCAGGATGAATTATTATTGCGCTGCCTCGGTCTTGATGAAAGTTACCATGTGATGTCGAATGTTCATAATGGTATTTGTGGTGCTCATTAGGCAGGGATTAAGATGGATTAAATACCCTTTTTGGTCCCTCTACTATAGGGAAAAGCCCTTTTTTGGTCCCTGTACCGAAAAAATCCCCTTTTTGGTCCTTACTGTTCACAAATCCGGCCCCTTTTTAGTCCTTCCATTAAATTTTGGTTGATGTGGCAGGTTAATTAACGGAAACACTTATTCTTTTTTTTTTATTAAATTACGTGTAAAATCCACATGGCAAAAATTGATGACATGCAAAATTTTTTAATTTTAATTACTGAAATACCTTCATTTTCTTCCCTAGCTTCTCCTTCCTCCAGCCTTTTTTTTTTCTTTTTTTTCTTTTACCTCCAGGCAAACCCAAGAGCCTGAGTTCGCAAAACCTAAAAGGCAGCCATAACGAACAAACAGGGCATTACATATCCAGAAAAAACACAAAACATCGAATTACATCAAGCAGAACTCTCTCCTGCTACAATTAAACACCATTCGACCTCATCACACTCAACTCAATACTCAATTCATGATCGTGCACTTAACTTCAAATTGTATATCAAAATTCCGAACAGCGTCAATAAAATTAATAGATATAAAGAAACCGAAACGTACCATTCTGGAGATAAGGCCCGTATTTAGTCGCGGAAAGGTGCATCTTGATGTCGTCGAGGGTCTCGCACTGGCCGAGGTTGTTGTAATTGGCAGCAGTGAGGAGGCCGGCTCCTGGGTGCGAACCCGCGAGCTGGTCGCGAACCCAGGCTCCTGGGTGCGAACCCACGAGCTGGGTTCGCGAGGAACCCAAGCT